GTGACAGATTTGGCAACTGCAAAGTACCAAAATGATAAAGACAAATGTGTTATGCTGATGCCAATACCAATGCTCATCTTAAGCACAGAGGGTAGCGCTTCTGTTTATCTGTCTAATGGGATAATTATGACTGATGCAAGGGAAGCAAGTCTTGCTGCCACATACACTCTGTGCAAATACAGGAAAATGGTGACCTTGAAACCAATTGTCAGCTGAGAGACTCAGAGTTAATCATAGACAATCAGAGTCAGACATTCCCCTTTCTTTGCAATATGTTCTCAAGATGTGGTATTTCCCTCAGCTTAGCTTTGTATATTCATGGTTGAACCACATCAAACAATATGAGTCAAACCATTCCTCCAGCTCTGGCTATTACTGTTACTCTTTGGTATTACAAATGACCAATTCACAGAGTATGTTTGAGAGCCCATTTTCTAGCCACGACCCTTTCCACAGCATGCTTTAGCAGCAATGTCTAGACAGTGTTTGGCCTCTTTTCTGGGTTTCTATTCTTTTGTTTGGTTTTCTGAGCACATAAATCTTGCTAAGTAAGTATCAACAGAGAATTACCGTCTTTTACAACCCTCGTAATGCAAGGGTTTGTAGAAAAATCAAACAGAACATGGAAAGCAAACGTGTCTCAGATTGATCTACTAAATTTCACGCAAATGGAAAGGTCTGAACTGTCAACAGATCCATTGATTAATAAATGCAATTCTGGAAGTAGCCAAACTAAGATGACTGCTTGTAGAACTACAATTAACATATAATAATAATAATAATAATAATAATAATAATAATAAGTAGTTATTTTTAGTCAGAAAAGCAAAATGGCAAGATCAGATTCACTTTTTATACTTAACCTTTGTGGATATCTGATTATTCCTGGAAATAAGTGCAATTGTATATAACTTTTTTTTTTTTATTATTTGGTTAAAAACCTTACTTTAAAAAAACGCATTTATTTGGCTGTTCCTGGAACCTATCTAATATCATATTATCCAATAATCTTTTTCAAAAGCTCTTATTAGATATATTCCTGCTAAATAAAGGAGACTAAACCAAAATAATACATTTCATCCTTTACGACTGTTTTCATATTTCTCATATATAAATTCAGCACTCTGGCGAGCGTAAGAAGAGTTCTACCTCTTGTATTCTCTTCTGCCATTTCGCTCCACAGACCAAAGTAAGGAAGGAGCAAAGAGGAGCTGGGTGATGTGTTCATAACTCATGCCACTGTGCAGTAAATCTCACTTGCAGCTAGGTGCACGACTTATTGATCTGTGAGCTGGGAGGAATATAGCTTTCCTTTCTGGCTTCACCTCTGCTGATATATGGCCATGCAAGATTGTAAATGAGTCACAGAGGTATCAAACATGTGCGTGTATGTGTGTGGGGGGGGTATGGTGTGGGTGGAGGGTTATGGGGGAGTATGTCTTGTTAAGACTGTCTATAGTAGTAGTATGACTTGGAGTAGGACTTGTAATCTTGAAAAGACTTTCATCAGTTTTACTGAGTATAAAGAAATTTCCTGAAATTTAAACATGGTTTGTCTGTTTTTTTTTTTTTTCTGACCCTAACCCTATGTTTCTCCACCTTTAATGTGACACAGCAAGCAACAACATTCAAGTGAAAACCCAATAGAAATATTTTAGGGAAAAAAGAAAAAGAAAAGGAAAAAAAAACTAATACTTTGTTAAAGCACATTTTGCTTGTAAAACAGCACAGGTATGTACATCTTGATTTGGCAATTTTATTCCACTCTTCCTTGAAAAAATGCTCTAGATCTATCAAATTGCGAGGGGATCTCCTAGGCACAGCCCTTATCAAGTCATCTACAGTGTCCTTAACAGCCTTACAAACGATTTCTCAGTTTTACACTTTTGTATGTAGTCACTGGATTTTTCAGTGTTTTCGAGATCACATTTTGAGAGACAGCCTACTTAAGCAGCAAAAGAAGGTCATGCAAAACTGATATTGCTAATTAAATTTTGTATTTTAATACAGTAATGCTATTTTATACTTATAAAAGGTTTGGACTTCTATGCTTATGCTTCACTTAAGCACATAAAAATGAATATTACAGCTGGTGTGGAATTAAATGCTGGTTTAAATAGAAGCTAAGTCATAAAACCATTGAGTATGAGATGGCCTTATTAGCCATAACTGAGTTGTGTGTTCTTATTTTGTTTTGTTACACATAACAAAATTATTATTAATGCTCATTAATGTTTAAGTGTGGTCATATAAATAGTCTCATGCTGTAAGAAATGGAACAGAACTTATATGGCTGTGGCTGAAGTCAGGAAAATAGTGTCTTAATCCTGCACTAAGAGGGGATCTCGGGAGGCAGTAGAGCATTAGCATTTGTTTTTTTTTTAAAAAAAAAGGGTTTGAAAATCCCAATGTGCTGGTGAATTTTGAATGTCACACCCCCTTCTGTGCCACTCCACCCACATCAGTGCAGCACCTTAATTTAAAATGCACAAATAGCAACGATAATGAAGTAATAAATGTGTAAAACGTTGTATGAAATGACGGTGCGTTTTAGGGCAGGAAGAATATTGATGGGATGTAATTGCTTTTGGGATTGGAAACTTTATTATACAAGAAATTACTGTTGTTACTATTATTATAACTTTGTATTAATGTGGTGGTCACTGATGGAAAGAATTCAATCATATGGCGAGTAAGTGTGTACCAATTGATCAAAACAAGTGACAGAAAGAAAGAAAGAAAGAAAGAAAGAAAGAAAAACAAATAAACAAGCATAGATGCTAACAGAATTGACATATAAAGCACTGGTCTCCATCCAACATGTGCAGTGCATGCTGGGTAACTAGGCCAAGGAAATGTAAACAGAGTACTGGGGAGACTTGAGGCAGAGGTATGTGTGTAGGCGGTCAAACCCGATGGGACCAATAAACTAACATACTGGCAGCTGTCCAGAGGAACATCATTTGTGCAGGGAGGAAGAGTACAAAGATCTCGAAAACAACGAACATTTTCTCATTGCCACGACAAGGATGCAGTCCAGTTCCTGTCCATGTTCCTCTCCTACCTCACATGCAAAAAGCCAAGACTAGATAAATGCCATTAAAATTATTAATGATAAAATCATAACGATGCCCTTTTTGAAGGTTATAATCAAATCAGATTATATACTTCACTGACTGAGTTAAGTAGCAAACATTACATGTAATATAATAAAAGTATAATTCGATATTTAATTGAGCAGACCCATGAAGTGATGCAATTAGTCATAGTACATTCGCTAAGGCCCATTTTTCCTGAATCCTTGAAAAATTAGGATTTAAGAATTACACTAAAGTGTAATTTTGTAACACCTGGTTCAGTGCAAATGCTAAATGCCTTGCGAGGAATATTCAAATGACAAATGGATGACATATGGTGTCTATCTACTCCATCACTAAAGTAAATAAGGATTTTTTTTTATGCGTAAAGTGACATACACTGACATATTGATTTATACCGCGATACCAGGCAACCAATCTGAATGCACCAGCAGGAGCCCAAAGAAATCAGTCAAACACTCTTTCCATCCACACTCGGAATTGAAAATGCAGCCCTCAGAATTGTGTAATTCAGGGACAAACATCCCAAGAGACCTAAAAAGACTTCGTCTGGTTTACCGTATCATGAGAACAGATGGAAAGTGCAGCACAGTGGAATAGCAGAGCTTCTATGGTTGTGATACTATGGAAAATTCTTTTTTTTTTTTTTCAGTACAGGCGGTGCAGACATGCCAAAAAGTTCCAAGCCTGTGAGAGTCTCAATACAGTAACAGAAATGTGTCACAATCTAAAATGAGTTGGAGTAGATGTGGCATGCTCATATCTGAGTGTGCTTTGAGCTCAGGCAGAAGTGAAAGAAGTGTACAGACACGTTCCAGTGCCATCAGGGAAAAGGAGGGAAACTATATTAATGTTTGCAGTGAATTAATGCAGTGTCTAATTTAGTCTTGCCTAGCATTTTGCTATGCCTTGGGCTATTTGAAACGTAATGAACGTGGATGCAAGCTGCCTCGATCAGGAGGAAAAACAGAGGTGAGAAATGAGAGAAAGTGAAAAGAAGAGAAAAGAGAAAAGCCTACAAATAAGAAGACGTTACTTTTGCTTTTAGTTTTGGCTTTAGATGGCACCAAAGGGTGCATGACATTAAAAAAAAAAATCATTGTAGACGACACTGACAAAAAATTTAGTGAAATTTACTCAAGAAAAGTGTGGTAACAATCTCCACAGAAAAAAATCTTTAAGCAAATTTAACTACACATATTTTAGGTACGGTTTACATGGCACCTAGGATTATTCTTCTAAAAAAAAAAATTAATAGATTTTACTCAAATTTGAGTTAAATGAACTACATAAATCTCTCCCTTGACTGAATTGGCAGAACCAAAGATGATTAATTATCTAAGCTGTGTGTGCACACAACATGCACCTGACTGAGAAACACAAAGGAAACCAAGAAAATTTTACCGAAACACTCGATCTTTCAAAACGTTTCTTAATACCTTGTGGCTTTAGGCTTTAAAGTTGACAGAAAATAAGAAATATTGAAAACAGCCCAGTTATAATGCTCAAAATTAAACCAGTTTAAAGTTCTGTGAATGCATATGCAAATTGAGCTCAAAAACCACGCCCCACAATATTATACAATCGATTCAAGAAACATTACTTCTGTTTTTCTAGTTTTGTGAGCACTTCCAAAATAACCATAATTTTTAAGCCAGTAACGGAAGGAAAATAAATACTTTGGGTTTTAGCCGCATATTTACATGAATTCATTTAGTACAGAACTTAAAGCATTTAAGTTGCTGTATCGCCTGCTCCGATTAAGGGACAAAACAGCAGATCATTGGTTCGCATGTTTGATTTGGCACAGGTTTCACACCAGATGTACCTCCTGACACAACCCTCCCATTTTATCCAGGCTTAGGACTGGCAGTGAGGGTGCACTCACAGTGGCTGCGTTGGTTCCCTGCCCAGGAGTCGGACCCTGGCCATGGTGGTGAGAGCACCAGATCCTTAACCGCTAGACCACCAGGGACAACTTAAAGCTGTTTTTATAATAATTTGCTTTGTTATATAAAAATCACAGATTTTTATTTTTGTCATATTTACTGAACCACTCAATAATTTTTTTTTCAATGTATGGGCATTTTCAGTTATGCAGTGTATGAACAGAGTTACATAAGTCCAGAAAGGCCATAGTTTTTTGTTTGTTTGTTTGTTTTTTATCTTAAGATAACAAAACTTGTTTACAACTTGTTTTTTTTCATGATATCAAAATGCAAGATTAGGCATACATGTTGTACATCATGGATGATTGCATACAATTTTACTTTAATCAGGGATTGACACAAGAGGAAACAGCCGGCATAGTGGTAGAGTTGTTGCCTTAGAGCTTGAGGGTCCTGGACTCAGTCCTGAGCACTAGTGACTGTGTAGAGTTTGACATTAGTCTTCCCAAATTTCACTCTGGGGTCAATAAAGTACATCTATCTAGCCATCTATCTGTGTGTTTGTCAGTGTTAGATAATTTCCAAGTTAGTGTCTGTCACTTGAGAACGCGCCTCATAAATCCTCAGGTATACTGTCATGGACACTATAGTTATACTGAACGGGTGGTCAGTTTCATTGCCAGTTTAAGGGACTGGGCCGTCTCCTTGGTTATCACATGATTTTGCAGAGATGCCACTTAAATGGTTTGTGGCTCAAAAGACAAATGGTGATCAAAATCCTGGGAAATAGGATGCAATTACTGCAGAATCACCATAACTCCAGTATATGACGGTGTGCCACAGGACAGAATGATGCAATGCTAGAATGCTACTGCTACGTGAGCTCGGAAAATACGTTTTTTTAATCACAAGATCACGAGAAGAATAAGTCATGATTTCGAGAAATCAACTTTTATATTGAGATCACCAGAAAAATAAGTCATGATCTTGAGAATACAACCTTTTGTTATCTTGAGATCGCAAGAAAAAAAATGTAAAAAAAATCTCATGGCCTTTCCGGATTTCCGTAGGAGTCTGCATGCTGGAAATATTCAGGACTTGTTTGGTGGAGGGGTGCATATTCATAGGTTTTATGCTGAAAAATTCCTTCTGAACCACAATTCTGTATTTCTCTTTTGTGAATGCAGGCTCGCAAAATGGCAACAAAGTAAATCCGCTGTTTTTTTAATTATGATTTTAATTTGGTACCACAGAAATAAATGCAAATGTGGAGCTGTTCTCATATAAGAAGATCTTTAGTCATGCACGCTGGCATGTAAAGTCGTAAAGCTTTTGCGATGCTCTAGTCTAAGCATTCACACCTCAAAGGTGAGTGGTGGGGTCAGTAAGTTTCCTTGTTTACTTATTCTTGTACTCTTGTAGTTCATAATAAACTTTATTGTGATGTATTGTGTTATATGAATGTCCAGGGATTAATGAATAATATTATAGTACGTTAGACACATTTGAAACAGACCTCTGACAAGCTAATAAAAAAAGGCTAACACTTGCAAGTATAAATGAAACCTCTGACAAGTAAATGGAAAGACCTTTCCTTGAAAGGTGATCAAACCTCTGAGCTAAAGGAATAATTGCTTGGTAAATGTATATAAGTCTCTGATTCAGTAATGTCACATTCCAGTAAAGCTTAGTATAAAGCTGGCTAGATTAAATGTATAATTGAATGCTGAGATATTACATCTCTGATGCTAAAGGTTACTCTTTGGAGTCAGTTATATTAAGTTAACCTAATAAATTCTGATAGAGTCAGATAATGAAGTTAACTATTATTGGAGTCAGGTCATTCATTAAATGTTGGAAATTTAAGTATTAAAGTTAATAAATGCAGCTAACCTTCGTCTGCGACTGTTACCGTCTTTGGTTTTAGGATTGCAGTGGATTAAGTGTTACACTTAGTCCTACAATATCAATAATCATAATAACTCTTTCCCCAATATCACAAAAGTATAAATACGAAGTAACATCACCGTCCGATAGCTCCCACTCCTGATGCAGAAAACCACTTTCAAGAGGACCAGGGATCACTTCTCTGGACTGCTGTTAGGCTCAGAGTCTGGGAAAAAAAAACAGAAAAAGAAAAAGACCTATAGTATGTATGCCACATAAAATATTGTAGACCATATTTAGAGCGTCATCACTGGTCATCATGGATCATTCTATGATATTTACATGGATTTGATTATTGTTGAAAAACATGACATGCATTGTATGTAGCTCTGACACCACATATGAGGGCAGGGAGGAAAAAAAGAACTATTGCTATGGATAATAAAAATGTTAGAAAGAAAAAAGGCACGGGAGCTTTTGATAAGCTGCAGTGTAGGGGCACAAACTCCGCCAAGCAGGTTGGCTTGTTTACATCAGTAAATGAGAGACGCTGGGTTCTGAGCTTCCACCTTTGTTTAAACAGCAGGAGATCCCAATACTCACGCTAATAAATCAAAGTCAATGGGAATGGGTCAGTGAGAAGGCAGGGTAGTTTCGTAGCTAACTGCTCTGCATTATGTAAACTAGGGCTAATGGGGGGGGTCAGAGGTCCAGCAAAGGACAGACATATTCTATAATTATGCAGTCGTAGAGGATGAAGAACGTTGAAAGTTGTGCATTGCATTGACAAAAGCTTTTTAAACACTTCTCTTCTACACAAGTGGAAGGGTGGAACCATGCATAGTGAATCTTAGTCAATAGTCAATCTTATACAGTAACACATACAGTAACTTATACACTAATCTTTTTTTTGTTTGTTTTCTATAGTTAGTGCAATGGATGTACTAGAGCTTAAGGACATTTCATTAACCATAGATTTAGACTTATTTGCATTGTTTTTAATGATAAACAGGCAAAATAATAGAGGTCATATTTATGATAATTTAACACATGTAAATAACACGTAAGATGTGCCTTAATCTAAATTGCATATTTTGTCAAGTTTGTAAATACAGTGTACATTCCACATACAATATTTCAATTTCACTTTATTTTGCCTAGTCCACAATCAAAATTAATGTCGTTTTCAAAAAAAAAATGGTTTCGTGCATTACCTGCAATTATTACAAATTTTATTTTATTAATGGATGACACATTGTACGCTATCCATTTATTGTTACATCTAATGCTGTGGAATTATGAATCAAGTTCATGTTATCACCTATGTTAGCTATAAACATACTGAGTGTAAGAAAGTGCTGACACTGGAGGCTCCTTCTATACATGTTAAATAAATGTCTTCTTACCGACAACTTTATCATATCAATAAATATATTTTTTTATTGTTTTTAATTGTTTAAAGGCTTTCATTATGTAACGCATCCACCATATGGCTGGCACTACTGCCTGAGCAGTGTATATATATATATACCGTATATATATATATAAAGCGTTTATAAAAATCTTTAGTTTTCTTTTGTTTTGTATTGGCCTCAGTGAATGCTTTCAGGTCCTGCTGGATCAGCTATGCCATTTTCATATTTTATTCATTTGCTTGTAATTACATGTTGTAAGTATCATTATTTCCATATGCAATACATTGCAACTTCCATTTATTTATGCATCGGGACATCGTAGGTCACGGTGTTCTAAGCATAGGCTGTTGCTTGTTATGCAATCCTAACCAACAGCAATCTTTACACATCCATGTTTCACACTTGTCTGCAACAGGTTAGCATGATCTGTGGGGATGATTTTTATGTTTATTCTTTAACCCTGGACAGACAACCTCGGTGAGTCCTTTGGAAACGGAAAGGTCACAGCTGACTTCTTTTTGCTGAAAAAAGCTGAAAGCTCTAACAGACACCAACTTTGATTGGAGGTAGTGTTTAGTACCAGCCAGCAATGCAAGACACATCTCAGGACAGTGCATCAGAATGGGGTGTGCTGCCAAGTCTGCTGCCACCACCACACCTATCACCTAGATGGCATCCTGCACTGACTATGATTGATTGGTGTAGATGGTGACAGTGATGGAAGCCCTTCCGTATGATTGTATGACAGTGTGCTACATTAATGCACTACGATACGAAGAGAGACAGAATGAGCAAGCAAGTACATATCTAGACACATTGAGATGCGTTAGCGTGTTTTTGTGTTGAGTGTTCAGACAGTTCATTTCTCAATGTAATTTTCCTTCCCTGATTCATTTGTTAACCGACAGTCTTTGCCCCTCCCTACGGGAAGCCTATTGCTCTCCCATTAGATTTGTTCTGATGCCGACTTTGAATTGGCATCATGCAAAATGCATGACGGAATCATTACACACTTGCCTCAAACCACGTCAAGTTGTTGAATGATCTCAAATAGACTTCTGCGGTTTGTCACACTGTATGAAATGTAGAAAAATGAAGTACATTGAACAGCTGGAAAACAAAAACTATTGAAAGAGAGAGAGAGAGAGAGAGAGAGAGACAGAGGGAGAGAGAGAGAAAGAGAGGAAGACTGGCCATTTTCATTAGCTTTTGGCATTTCTTACTAACTTTCCAGCTTTGGTATTCTGCGATCAAAGTGAACTACAAGAGTGAAGAATATAAATCTGGACCCACTGACAGGGCCAAGGGGTTTAAGGGATTAATAGAAGTCCATATTTAACAGCCAGTGAAGAGAGCAAATTACTCACACCAAACTCCATCACAAATGCAGGGGCGGTTCAACGTCTTTCTCCCAGTGGTGTCTAATGCTTGCTTTATACTTCTGCATCCATGTATATGTCAACATGTGAGAACACCTGAGAACACATGCCTGCCGTCATACTAACATCATACATTCATGTCCTCTAAACGGAAAGGAAATGAAATCCTGAATGAAAGTCTCAGATATCACTGTGGGGAAAAAAGAGAAGAAGCAAATTACTGAATGATCCCCAATACCAATGCTATTTACATCAAAGATGACAAAGTCAAAGGCAAGTATGGATATTGCATATTAAAAGAGACTTATCTTATCAACCTTAAGTGCATCAACTTCCAGATGGTACATTGCTTTGGATGCACAGCTGATGAAGGACATTAGTCTAAAACTTTGCGTACTCTGTAGG